GTCTTATCACCGCATCCTCTCATTTATTTGGTCTCTCCTCTGTAGTAACTGATATTTTTCCTTACAGTGGTATTCTTGATATGAAAGAATGATGATTTCTCAGAAGTTTCAGCCCATGGTCTAGGGCTGGCAGCTTAATCAGGAAATGTGATGTCCCAGAGCCAATGGACCATGACGGGAAACATGCTGGGATTTCTAAGACTGATGTCCATCACTTTTTCAAAAGCTTCTGCCTTGTCACAGAGATTTTCATGCTATATCAATATTGCTGGGCTACGGGTTAATGCATGACAATACTGGATCAAGATGAGGACTAAATCCTACGATATCTTGGCAGAAATCAAGACAACTGATCACTTAAATAGAGAAATTTTCCAGTGTCAGAGATAGGCTGAGATTACCCATTGGAAGGAAGAAACAAGCCTGGCCGATATAGCCCATCCTATGGAAAGACTAACCAGATAGGCTCTCTAGTGGGGAGTCAGATTCAGAGACAATAGGAGGACACAATGAAAGCTAAAGAAAAGTGAGAATGAATGTGTCACATGTAGGTACCCCCCAGGGTGATCCTCCACTGTCCCCCACAGAAGCTGGATATGGACCATGAGTCAAAAGACAAGAGAAATCCATGTGCCCTAGAAATATTAACTGCAGAAATCAAGAGTCTGATGACACTGGCGAGGAATGGACAGCCAGCAGGGCGTAAGATGTGTTATCATCTTGGGCATAGTCCAGTCCCCACTGAGTTGAGGTAGCTTTTGCCATGGATTTCATTAGTGATGGGTTTACTCCCAAGAATTTTCTTTTCCTATATTCTTATTACCTTAGTCAGCACTCTGCTGAAAACCACACAAGGACATTTTCTGCACTGAAAATAAAAAGTGTTATGAGTGATGAAATGTTAAAATAAACATTAGTTGTCTTGGCTCTCCTTCCTAATACATTTTACACTTCAACTTAAAAATTAAATTGAGCCTCTCGGTGTGACTGTTCAAGCATCTTGCACAGCCATACGTCTCCCAGCTGTGCAGTGTACCACTTGGACCTCGCTGCCAAATGTAAGCACTTGAATAATCCAAGCCAGGTGATTAGCATAAAGCTCTTTTAATTTGTATTATGGTATCAGTATTTTTTAAATGTATAGACACTTAATTTATTAATTTCAGGGCTGTATACCTCTAGGTTCCATGTCTTTGTTTAATAGGTAAGTTATATATGGCTTACTACATAAAAAGCTTGGAAGCTGAGAGCCTCACAATGTGTGAGTGACAAAGCCAGGAATAAAATCTAAAGGCGCTTGTTTACCATCATGAATTCATCCTTCAGCACATGCTGCTTTTATTGTATCATAGAGCTAATATTTTTTTCTTCTAACCCTCTATGCCTACCCTTTATTTACAGTACTCATAATCCCCTAGGATACTTTATTATTTTTAGATTACATTTGAAAAGTTTTAACCTGTACTTTGTCATTGACTGTGCAGTAAGCAAAGATAACACTGCAAAAGAAAAGCAATCTACCTGTTACATGTGAATTCTTTCAGAAGATTTTAGGTTAAAATTTTGCTTGATTGGAGAGGGGTCTGAAAACCAGAGGACAAAGAATTACTGTGAAACCAACAAAATCTACATGGTTTTGTTCTGCTGTACAATGTGAAATCTTTTCCTGTTTGCACGTGTATTTTGCAGTGCTTGCTTCAAATTCTTTGTCCTCTTTAGAAAAGTAAAATAATGAACAGATTATATTGCTCCATTTCAAGGAAGAAAACAATGAAGAAAAGCCAACTGGAACACCAGATTATATAAAGGCAATTTTTACTGACAGTGTTCTGATCCAAATATTTATTCATTTCCTAACTCATACAAAATTGATGCTTGTGGGGGTATTGGGTTGCAAGGGTTGTAAAATGAAGTCTTCTAGTTATCCACAGTGAATATGTAGTATCAATGAAGCAATGAAAACTTCTTTGAATAAGAAATATATTACATATAATTTACAGAACTGAGATAGTGTCATATAGAAAATGATATTTTAGAGCAATGGTATGAGGAGGAAGATTGATACTTGTCTCTGTTGTGGCTGGAATGGGTTGCCCTTCACCCAGGTCCTTCCAGTGGATGGGAAGGCTTGCCTTCCTCAAGTCCAAACGGGAAACCTAACTATTACCATTGCCAGGCATTTCACCTGTTTGATGGTCAGACAGTCAACTCTCTCCTCAAGGTTCATACACCATCCAGCTTTTGCAAGTTCATAACACACTTTCTACAATATTGAGTTTGGCTGGATTCAAACGAGAGACCTACATATAAAAGACTAAAAACAGAAGGAGGCTCTGTTCTACTAGAAATTTATTTAGCGATCAGACGGAAAACTTGGCTTCAGGGAAAAAAAGAGTCAGATAACAGAAAGTGATGAGAAAGTCTGTCCTGGATAAAAGAAGTTCTAATTTTTAACATAAATGAAAGCATTATTAAAGTCTTCTATATGAGTCATACCAACTTCTATGTAGATGAGAAATGTAATGAGATGGTATCTAAGTCATTATAAATTTTTCTATGTACATAAAAGAGGAAAAAGAAAGTTTCCTACTTCATTGTTCATGTTCCCCTTCATATCTTGCATACTTATTAAAATGTAGGGTTTCAAGTACCCATAGAAAAAATACAAACGTGCAGAGAGAATAACCACTAGGAAAAAAAAAAAAAAAAAAGGCAACCAAGTCCTAAAACTGGATTTAAAATAATTCAGTCCTGTCTAAAGAGTCAAATCACATTCTTTTTCCTCCCTACATAAAAGTTGCACTCATATTCATAACAATAGAAGAAGCAAAACACAGTTGCTTCATAACACTGGACATAGCTTTCCAGAAACAAGACAGCAACTACTCAGAAATGCTATGGAAAACATTAATCACAGAGTAACTTGCTATTTACATTAAAGATAGTAGCCTTTAAAATTAATTTAAAATAAAAGCAAACACCCCGCCCACCCCAGTTTTTAGTCATGGGACAGTTTTGTCTACAATGTGGAGTCTTTGTTCTTTGCTTTTTGTCCAGCATTTCTTTTGAGATATATATCTATATATAGAGATATATGTCTGAGAGAGATATATCAAAAGCTATAACATGTCTGGATGGAGAGCCTGCAAATTTCATCTGAGACTACATTTGCAGTAGGCAAAGCCCCACAGAAAAAAAATGGAATGACACAGTTTAATGAAAAGGCATTCCCTGTCCATGACCCACACAGAATCCATACAGAAACCTAAACACCTCAGTCTGTAGAAGGGGAGCCGACAGCAGCAGCACAGGCTGAAGCATCCCAGCCCTTGTGGGATGCAGTGGTTTCCATCCCCAAGGAGGCTGCCAGAATGGATGCGGAGCGGGGCCAGCAGTGGTGATGTGGAGAGCTGCCACGCTCTGTGTGGGCTACAGGTGGGATCCAAGTACCTTGACAGTTAGTGGAAGCCACTCCTGTTGATGCCGGTGGGAGCTGGATGAAGCCCCATGGCAGCAGCAGGCTCCAAGGATGAGACTGCAGGACAAGGTATCACCGACTCTCCGATTCAGCCCCAGCACTGCCACCGCATCGCCCAGCAGGCTCCCAGTTCTCACTAGGATCTAAAAAACATGTCACTGCTGTCGTGCTTCTTCCATGGGACGACAGCTGGACTAGACAGGAACGATTGAGCACCACAGCACTTCTTATTCTTACATATGCAGGATGCTCGTGGGCAACCGGCATCGATTCAGAAGCAGGAAAATCCAGCCGGAGGATGTGCCCCTTAACAGAGGAAAGGCTGTCTGTGCTTCCAGCAGTCAGCACTCAGCTGCCCAGTCTCCATCATAACTTGACAAAACCAGTGCAAATTCATAGGAAAAAGAACGTCTGCATCGAGAGGGTATAAATCATTCCTTACATATGAGAATGGTACAAGCATTTACCCAACATCTCTATCAAATATTGTAGAAAAGGTTACACAAAAATATTTAAATATATGGATACAGATACATAGATACTACGCTTGCATAAAATATGTATATTCAAAACCCTTTGGGCAGTTTCACAGTTAGCTGAAAATGTATGCTTTAGAAATATGAACAATTTCCTACACTCTGCTAGTTTAAGTAGGAGGGGGGAGGGGAAAGAAAGCATCAGCCTTATTAATACTGAATGCTAAGTGCAGAAGTTTAGCTGTAGCTGTAGGGTTTTGAAGCAATTGATTTGACAGAACCTCCAAGCATAAACTCCGTTTTAAAAATCCACAGCTATTCCCTCGATTGCTTATTGTTTCATGAAAATGAAAAACCTACGTGTCCTGCTTGTATCAGCTAGATCTCCTGAGACTGTTCAATTAAACCTCATAAACTTGCAATACTTCAGGATAGGATTGTGTATTGGGAGTATGCGTGAACCTTATTGCAGTATTTCTGTGTGATAATAGGAATTTATAACTTCTCGTATCTTGTATAATCTAACTTTAGAAATAAAAAAAACCTTAGATGACACCACAAGAAGCTCACAGTTCTGAGAAAATTAAAGTCAGTATGAAATTTTACTCATAGACCACATAATTTACACAGATTTACATAAATACAGAGATATTAAAGTATTAAATCAAAGTTAATTAACAGAGGATAGAGTTTTACATGGTAATATATTTTAATTCTAGTTACATTTTTGCAACTACTTTTAGTGTCATGAGATTATATACTATATATATCTGTATATCTATAATATATATAAAGATATATATATATATAGATATCTCTCCATCCTTTTTTTTTTTTTTCCCAAAAATAGGGCAATTTTATAACTGCAATGAGATGTGACAAGCAGTACACTTCTGGGGAATTATTGCATGCCTTGAGTGCATAAGGCAGAAGGAACAGTATCTGACTTCAGACACTAAAGAAGTGGAATCATCAACCAGAAATGCACTGGAGTGATTTGGAACATCTTATTGCTTTTATAAAACTCGAAATTATACACTGTTGTGGTTTTGTTGTTTTTGTTTTTTTGTTTTTTGTTAAAGGCACAAAATAAAGGGGAAAGTAATATCTCTCTATTTAGCGGAGATCAACGATCAGGAAGCTCTATTACTGTTCACTGAACGCTCTTCACTGTCCTAAATCTATTCCCTGTGGTGCAATACTGTGCTGCAGTTGCATAAGGAGATTAAACACAAAAGTTCATGCATCCTTTATTAGGGGAAACAAAACAAAGCCAATTTCCTCGCCCAGCAACAATGAAATAGCCATTAGCATCTGATCATACCGGCTGGCAGCGAGAGTCAGCCATCACTCCCATCAAACTGCAACGTGCAAAACACCACTCCGTTGCAGGTAGCTCGCCACACTAACCTCAGCAGGTGGAGCAGCTCCTTGAGCTGAATGATACAGTACTTGCCTAAAACGCTGGAGGCACGGATCCAAACTCAACAGCAGTTTCCCTTCAGACCAGGCAAGATTGAAAAGGGATAAAACTGCGTAACAGAAACACTGCCCTGAAACCTCTGCATTTTGGTGCTATTAGAAGATTATGGAGCACTTCTGCCACCCTCTTTCCATGCTTTAAATTGGTTAATAGCATTCACTGCTGGCTTAGGGCCCCAGACCTCCTGGTGCCTGTGCCTGGGAGTTTTTCTAGCCTAACAGTCACCCTGGGAGGCAGAGTACAGCAGAGAGAGAATAAGTGGATACAAAATATTAAAAACTGTGGACTACTACTATCTCCTCAAATGCTTTGAATGCCAGCATAGAAAGAAAAAAGAAGGAATAAATCCCTTGGGATCACTTTTTCTTTGCTGTATTTTTTAGATGTTAATATGCACAGTAGAGGGCTGCCTCTGCTATACCACATAAGATGTTTCAAAGTTTGGATATGGCACTCTGTTAAGGCACCTTCAAGTAATGGTCTTTGATTTAATTACTAAGCAAAGCCGCATTTTCTGTACCTGACACTGCTTCCAACACACAGTACCAGCAGCCGCTCACACATGCCATCCACAGACAAAAAAATCTCCTGATGCTTGCCAGGGAGAAACTACACCAGCCACTTCTGAAACAAGTATTTGACAGGATTTAGGAGCAGACATTTTGCACAACTGCGTGGTTTGTTCCCCGAGAGGGGAAAAGGGAGAAAAAGTGTTGTCTGTCCCTAACTATTAGATTAGGAGGGTTAAAAATATTTATCAGCCTAAAAAAGTAGAAGCCAGCTCTGTACTGCAGGATTCCTTGCTGGAAGGCAAAGCTGTAAATGCAGGCGTTCAGTGCTGGGTGCCTGGTGCAGAACTGGGTTTATTCAGGACCAACAGGAGGTACAAGGATCCCCTTCCCTGGAAGAGGATGGGCACCTTACTGCACATTACCTTGCCCTGCCACACAAATCAGTACTGGGTTTGGGTTTCAGGTTTCATGGCATGAGGATGGGGAAGCGGGGGGCATTAGAAGATGAAGGGAGCTGAGGGAAGAGGAAAGCTCAGGCATCATCCCTCTGTGCAGAGAGCTGGCTCCATCCCCCCAGACAGCAGGACACTCAGCGCTGCAGCTGAGGGGCACTGGGCTGTGGGGTCACAGGCTTCCAGTGAAGCCCAAGTAGGGGTAGCCATTTCTACACAAAACAATATCCAGTCCTGGAAAGGAGCGAGAGGGGTGTGACAGGGGCATAGGTCCTAGCCCAAAAGGAAAGACTACAGTGGACTGTTGCCCTCCTTCGAGAGGACAGAGGGTCCCAAGGCACCCACCAGACATGCCTCTCCCCCTATGCCACTCACCCATGCCCCAACCCACACCATGAAATGGTGACACAGGGTGCAGCAGATCCCAAGAGAGTGGGATCACCCTGGCCCAGGAGAGTGGGATGTCCAGGGAAAAGGGACCCCCCCACCCCTGACCCTCTCCTCCAGGTAGACAACTTGATATTTGGTAGTTGTGTGCAGCTCCTTCTCCAGTAAAAAGACGCATCCTTTCCTCTCACAGTCAATGAGAAACGCAATGTGATCTGTCATGCGCTTGGATCATGGGCTTGTTCGTTCATTTGAATTAGCAACATTTTCTTCTTCTTCGGGGGCTAGAATAATCACTCAGGTATTTACAAACACCAACCAGCACCTTCACGCGGTCTCCCCCAAACCATCATGACAAAATCACCGTCTGCAGGAGCCCCGCACCAGCTGTGTCCAAACAAGCCCGTGCTTGCTGAGAGCTTGGGGATGCCAAGGGAGAGGGGCGCTGGATCTCCGAGTCCTGGGGGGGTCTTCCCAGCCGGCTGTCTCTTCCTTGGGGTGCCTCTCCCTGCACCTCCGTGCCTGGGTGCTGGCTGCTGCTAATGCTGCTGCGGGTGCAGTGGTCCCGTTCATACTCCTCCTGAGCCTTTTGCATTTTCCGCTTCTTCATCTTCCTCTTGTGGATGTGGAAGGTAGTGAGGGATAGGAGGATCAGGCAGAAGATGAGGGTGACCAGGACAATTAAAACCAGGGTGGACGAAAAGGACTGGAAGAGTTGACCCACTTGCGTGATGCAGGTGCTGCTGGTGTTTAAGGTGGCAGATGTCCTGTTCAGGAGACAAGGTGGCAGGGACAGCCTCAACTCCTTGGAGAGCTTGGCACTCATTGAGGAGGCTTCGGAAGACGAGGATCTTCCTCCCCTCTCTTAAGACGCCTGAATTTCAACCGGTGCCGGGCTGCTGGCGGGCGCTCGCTGGAAATGCCCGGGATGCTGCCGGCTCAGCCTCACACTCGCTCTAAAGTGACAGAGCAGCCTGCAAAGGGAGCCGGACACATCAGCGCTCCGAGGCGCCCACCCCGCGCAGCTCCCCCCTGCCCAAAGCACGGCGCCGGCGGCTGCGGCAGCCTCCTCCCTG